GACTTAGACATAAAATATATTCTAATATATACGCAGATCCAGGTACAATGTCACTTTCTTGGGTTGCACGATTGAAAATAGCAGTAGGAGCAGCTCAAGGCTTGGCTTTCTTACATCTGAGGAAGCTTGCAGCATATACACAATTTAAGACCAATTGTATTTTGGTGGACACAGTAAGTTAGACTGCCTTTGACGTGTTTGCAATTTGCATCTCAATTTTACATCAGTTTTAGTATCTTTTTCATGCTTATTTACAGGATTTCAATGCTCGGCTTTCGGATTATGAAGTGGAAAATTTATTTGCCACACCTGAGTGGCACTTTTACCAGGAATATAGAATTGATGGTATTCGAAGATGCGAGCCTGAAGACGGTATATTCTAATTTAAAAGTAGGCTTTTTGTACACTCTCAGTTATATCATCACAGTCACTCGTATGAGTATTCATTTCCTCTCCAAAAGCTATAATCATGAATTATTTGTTCTTGAGTGAAGAGTGAGATTTATGATTTAAAATATGACCAATCAAACCACTTTGGCAGGTCCTGGAGTGAAGAGTGAGATTTATGCTTTTGGAGTCGTACTGCTCGAAATATTAACAGGGATGAAGGCCTATGATGTGCAGAGACCCCTCACAACGCAAAATTTGGTAAAATGGGCTACTCCATTGCTAGTAAATGAGGTAAAATTGAGAGCTATTATGGACCCACAACTTCAACGTAATGGTTATACTCCAAAGGGAGCATTCATGTTAGCTAAACTTGTTTCAAAATGTCTTCAAAAAAAACTAGACGATCGCCCATCAATGGAAGAAATCGTCCAGGTATTGTGTCGGTGCTATGAAGAAGAAATCAAATTAGTTTGTGCTCCAGCATAATATATAGATAAGGTTTTTGTAAATAATCTAAGAATGTACATGTTAGCCGAATAAATCTGTTAGGCCCTTTTTAGTTTGGGCCCAATGTTTGGCCCTTTAGTCATTTAGATAGGTTTGACCTGATTTGCTTTCCTATTTATAGATATGGTTTTGTAAATAAATCTAAAAATGTACGGTATACGATGCTGGAAATCTCTGAAGAGTTAAAGCCTTGAGCTTCATTGTTTCCCTTTACATTCTTGGTGAAACAGAACCACCCATAACATACCTTTTCGAGCGTGTGATTTATGTTGTGCAGCAGATGTTTTCAACAATCGGGCGCAATTTGGTTTTAGTACTATTTGGTTTGTCTTTGTTTGTCATTTATCATATAGAGGTTGGCCTAAATTCTCCGAAGCTGCAGTTGTGAATTACAATCTGTTGAAACTTATATATATATATATATATATATATATATATATATATATATATATATATATATATATATATATATATATATATATATATATATATATATATGGAAAAGTGAATATACCCTTAAGGGTATATAAGCTTACGTACCCAAACTCATTATAATACATCATTTTATTTAATATATTCATTATAATATTCTTAAACTTCAACCCTTGACTTGGTTTAGTTTCAAAATTTTCAAAATTTCATTATTATCTTCCTCTTACATCACATCTTTTTGCCGAACACATATTAGGCTATATATATTATAGTTGAAAATGAAAATTATGTAAGAGGAATATAAATGTGAAATTGATAAAAATCTTGGAAGTAATCAAGTTAGAAGTTGAATTATAAGAACATTGGACAATTACAATGTATATATATGATACAAAACGATGTAGTATAGTGAGTTTGCGTACCTAAGCTTATATACCCTTAAGGGTATATTCACTTTTCTCATATATATATATATATATATATATATATATATATATATATATATATATATATATATATATATATAGGGTTAGCTTTAGGAATGGCAATGGGGCGGGTTCGGGGCGGGGCATGGATTCCCAAACCCGTCCCGATAACTTTCGGGTATCTTATCGGGGCGCCCCATTAGGTTTCGGGTTTCCCCGTTGGGTTTCGGGTATCTTATCAGGTTTACAACAACTGATAACGAAATCTTTATTCTCTTTTAGGGTACCCCAATGTCTTATAAAATATACATGTTCTAGCAACTCTTTTAAATTAAAAACATGATGCATCACTTTAATAAAATAAACTGGACGTTATATAAAAAATTATTTGATTTAAGTTTTGTTTAATACGTCAAAACACATAAAAATGATCATTAACACCAGATTGTTAATAACTAAAAAAATTGTCCACGATAAGTATTTTATATTTGAACGTGTACAATAAACAGCAAAATTTTTTGAACATATTATATATATATATATATATATATATATATATATATATATATATATATATATAATCGGGGCGGGGCGGGTCGGGGCGAGGATAACCCACTCCCTGCCCCGAACCCGATAACGACCCGTTACCCGACCCGAAATGATCGGGTTTCGGGTTTCCCCGTCGGGTTCGGGTTTTTTTGCCATCCCTAGTTAGCTTCATGTGAGACCGCTTAATTTTGTGAGACCGTGAGACGCATTTTTTTTATTTTTTTAAAATTTTTTAAAATTTTTTTTTTAGTTAATTAAAGTTCCGAAAATAATATTTAAAAAAAGAATTTTTTGATTTTTCCATTTATTTTGCATTTTAAAATTATTTTTAGAATATGTACAGTGTAATATTCTATTTAGAATATTTCACGTATTTTTCAAAAAAAAAAGGATTTTTTTAAATTTTTTTTAGTTAATTCAAGTTCCGAAAATAATATTTAAAAAAAGAATTTTTAGATTTTTTCATTTATTTTGCATTTGAAAATTATTTTTTAGAATATGTCAGTGTAATATTCTATTTAGAATATTTCACGTATTTTTCAAAAAAAAAAAAACGAGATTTTTTAAATTTTTTTTATTTTTTATTTTTTTTTAATTTTTTTTAGTTAATTCAAGTTCCGAAAATAATGTTTAAAAAAATAATTTTTGGATTTTTCAATTTATTTTGCATTTTAAAATTATTTTTAGATTTGGTCTCACGGTCTCACAAAATTAACATGGTCTCAAATGAACCTGAACCTATATATATATATATATATATATATATATATATATATATATATATATATATATATATATATATATATATATATATAAAGGAATTGCAAGTTGACAATTTCTTTTGTATCTCACATTGGTGGAGGAAGAAACTTTTGAGGGTTTATAAGTTTATTCCCTTGATAGGCCTTCAAAGGTTATAGTGGATCAAAGGAAGGAGACAAGCCCACGTACGTGTCTAGCCTAGCACTAGCCGAAGCCACGAGTGCGCGATTTAGACGCACACTTCATGAACCAAGAGTTTGCCAAACTTCACAAATTTGATGGTCAGATCTACACCCGTTGGGCCTAGAATGTCAAGTTCATGCTTTGTCATGTCTTGAAGCTCGAGTGTGCATCACGTGTCAGCTGGGGGTTCTAGTCATAAATGCAAGTCTGGGGGACAAAACAAGAAGAAATTGGAGCAATTCAAATAATAAAAGAAGCAAAAAGAATCATTTTACTATTAACTTTACATGAAAATTATAGTTATTGGAAAATTATTTTGAATATGGATTGAAACTGTGATAATCCAACAACAAAGGACCATTTCTGTAATTTTCTATCGCGCCCGGATGAAACCATCTGTTGGCTAAATTTTTGGATGAGACGGAAACATATGAACGTCGTTCAATCACCTCGAAATCCTCTCTTTATTTGCTCCTTGTTGTCTCAACTCTCCAATACCTACCAGTAATCCCTCTCTTCAACCCTATAATCCTCACTTGCTCCATTCTTTCTCTCCACCAGCTACCAATAAAAGCGTTGAAGTCATCAGGAAAACTAGAGGTGTTTAATTAGTGTTCGTTAGACTCCAATTTAGAAGCAGTGGGTTAGAAAACAGGGTTTTAAAACCACCGGTTGCATTAGAATTGGAATTCCGTGAATGTTCTGATTCTGGTTCTAGAAGTTAGGCGCAGAGCATAGAAACTCAATGGTCATCTACTAGTAGCAAAAGAACCACACAAAATCATTGGTTGTTCATCCGCAAGTCTGGAGCTCTGTTTTGGATAGAATTGTTATCGTGAAGAATCAAAGGCCTGGTGCCCGAGAATGTCAGATCCACCTATCAATGATACCAACTCCTCAATCCTACTGGGAGAACAGACATGTCAACAGTTTACTCTTGCTGAGATTCAACTGGGAACCAACAACTTTGACGAGAATTTAGTCATTGGGCGTGGTGGATTCGACAATGTTTATAAATGTCCCATCAATATGTGGTTAGTAAGCGAAGTTGCAGTTAAAAGGTTGCACTGCATGTCCACCCAAGGGGCCCATGAATTTGAGGCGGAAGTTAAGGTTCTTTCTAAGCTGCGACATGGTAATCTTGTATCTCTGGTTGGTTATTGCAATGAAGGAAATGAGATGCTCCTAGCTTATGAGTTCATGCCTAATGGGACACTTAAAGATCATCTTTCCAAAGCTGATTCCACATTATCTTGGTTACAACGACTCAAGATATGCATAGGTGCAGCTCGGGGATTAGACTACCTTCACACAGGCACATCAACACAAAATGGAGTTATACATCGCGATGTGAAGACGTCCAATATTTTGTTAGATGCAAACTTTGCTGCTAAAATTTCAGATTTTGGATTGGCGAAAGTTGGCCCAATAGATCAAACACAAACTTATGTCAGCACCAATGTCAAAGGGACATTTGGTTATATGGACCCGTGCTACTTCTATACTAGAAAATTGACTAGAAAATCTGATGTTTACGCCTTTGGAGTTGTATTGTTTGAGGTGTTGTCCGGGAGGCAAGCGGTAGATTCAAGGCTTGATAAAGAGCAATGGGGCTTAGCACCTTGGGCTCAAGACCAAATCAAAGAGGGAAAAGTCAATCAAATTATTGACTCAAAACTGATGGGACAAATCTCGAAAAAATCCTTGAAGCAATTTGTAAGCATAGCAATCCATTGTTTACGTACCAAACCAAAAGAACGCCCAACCATGGCTGAGGTTGTCTTTAAGCTGGAGTCTGTTCTGTCACAAGAAAGGGAAAGCAGCGATTCTATCGTAATGAAGAAAGGTTCATTTACATGGTAAGGGCTTTTTTTACAGGCAAAGTTGACATTATGTCGGATGGTGCGGTAGGAAGCAAATCTATGAAGCAGGATGGTAAAGTTGTTAGCAAATCTGATTTTAGTGCTCACCATATCAGAAAATTCGCATACAATGAGTTGGTAAGTGCAACAAATAATTTCAAAGACATGGAGCATTGTCCAACTTCTTATACATCCATTTACAAAGGTTGGGTTGATGAAAAGTCATATGCACCAACAAAATGTGGTATTGGTTTGGCGATATATGTTAGGGAGGAGGATATTCTAACCTGGAAATGGAAGGTACTTTCACTATGTAAAACGATGACGTGGGACTTATTTTGGATAGCAAAATAAATAGACCTTGTAGTTTGCACGCTTTTTGATATTTTCTAGTTTATATATTAAGGCACTGAACTACATTGGCAATTTGGTTGTGCAGTTGGACTTGAAACTATTAGAATTCAGTCATCCCAATATTACCAGACTCTTGGGATATTGCTTGGCTAATGTAACTATGTTTTGGGTATATGAGCTGATTCCAGGGATATGGTTAGATGATCATCTATTCAAAGGTAAGTTGTAAGCATATCTTCTATCTTTTACTTCTATAGAACCCTTTGGACTTCCATCTTACAGATTGGATACATGTTAACTATTTTGATGCAGCACCAGATAGAACTCCACTTTCTTGGGCTGCACGATTGAAAATAGCACAAGGAGCAGCACAAGGCCTGTCTTTCTTCCATCAGAGGAATCGTCCAGCGTATAACAATTTTGAGGGCAATCATATTTTGGTGGACAGGGTAATGTAGTCTGCCTTTGACTTGCTTGCATTTTGCATGGAAAAAGTAATATAAACTTTAGTTTTTATTTTCTTGTTTATTTTTAGGATTTTAATGCTTGGCTTTCCGATTATGAAATAGACAATTTACTTGCCCCGCGTGACTTCTCTACATTCGAAAGAGACAAATTGGATGGTCTTTTTGGCCCTGTGCGTGGAGATGGTATGTTCTTTTGTAAAAATGAAATTTTTTGTACATTCTCAATATATCTGGAAAAATATTGAAATACTCCATTGAACTATTCTTTATTCTTTTTTTTTTCAATCCGAGGTGGACCCCACCTCCCTCTCTCTCTCTCTCTCTTTATATATATATATATATATATATATATATATATATATATATATATATATATATATATATATAATGGGAATATACATTACAGCCCCATCTAAGCTTAGGTACTAAACCTCTTGAAAATACATTGTTTTACTATATAAAGATTACGGTTAATGGATTTACGATTAATACTTCAAGATATAAATTCAAGATCGACACAATAGGGTTTAGGGTTTAGAGTTTAGGGTTTAGGGTTTAGGTTTATATTTAGGGTTTAGGGTTTAGGGTTAAGGTTTAGAGTTTAGGGTTTAGGGTTTAGGGTTAGGGTTTAGGGTTTAGTGTTCATATTTAGGGTTTAGGGTTTAGTTTTAGTGTTTTGGGGTTTAAATTTACGGTTTAGGTTTAGGTTTAGGATTTAGTAATGTTCACTTTGATGAAGTAATAAAGGATAATTGAGGAAAGAAAACAGAGATGATAAAACGATAATGAAAGAAAGAAATGTTATGGAGAATTATATATTACCAAGTGAAACCAAACCGGGTATATTTAGCATGTTAAAACGACATATTTTAGAGGTTTAGTACCTAAGCTTAGGTGGGACTGTAATGTATATTCTCACTATCATATATATATATATATATATATATATATATATATATATATATATAGGTTAGGTTGCAAGGGTTGCAATTATTAAACTTGCTTACTTACTTTCATCTTTTTCATTTTAGGAAAACTAAAAAATAAAATCCTTACATATTTGCCAAAAACTGAAAATCGTATTCAATTTAACATTTTCATCCTTTTACCCGGTCAACAGGTGATCCAACTTTTAAAAATTACATTTTTTTGGCCCTGATTTCAAATTTAATTACCAATTTTCTCCAAAATTTACACTTTTTGCCCAGATTTTAAATTTTTATTAAAATTGTGGTCCTATACAAAAAAGTTTTTTTTCTAAATAAAATTTTTTATATAGAAAATATAAGATTTTTATGTGAAAAATATGTTTTTGTTTTCTATAAATATGATTTTATAAAGACAAAACATATTTGAAACAAAATTTTGAGAAAAACAATTCTAAAAACAACTAAAGTTATGATAAATTTATAACAAAATTCTAAAATTTTGGCCAAAAGAGTAAAATTTTGACCAAATTTGTAATAAAATTTAAAACATGGGCCAAAAGTGTAAATTATGGACCAAGTTTGTAATAAATTTTGAAAATTTGGCCAAAAATGTAAGTTTTGAAAGTTGGATGACCCGTTGACCGGGTAAAAGGGTTAAATTGAATAGGATTATCAGTTTTTGTCATTTAATTGAATAAAAAAAAAAAAGATACAAGGATTACATCAATTATAAGACCAATATGTAAGAACTTTATTGAAGTTTTCCCTTTCATTTTAAATGAAATTTATAACATTTTTCTAACACACACATTCCTTTAGAGTTCCCTGCAATTTCTTACGTCCTTGTATAGTACAAGGATCTTAACTAATCCCTTTATAAGAGTTTGACTTGTAACACCATTTTATATGCATATGTTATATGTATACATTCATTTTCTGAAAACAAGGGGCGGTTTTTTTTTCCTTTCGAAAGCAGTACCTTTATAAGTATTTCCGAAAACAAGGGTGTTATGTATAATCATCTTCCAAAACCTCTTTAGCATAATTTGGAGTGCAGAGTGAGATCTATGCTTTTGGAGTGGTATTGCTGAAAATGCTAACTGGGATGAAGGAGTATGATGAAAGGATACCCCTCGAACAGAAAAATTTGATGGAATGGGCTACTTCATTGCTAACAAATAAGGTAAATTTAGGAACAATTATGGACCCACAACTTCAGCATAATAATCATCTTGCAAAGGGAGCCTTCGAGTTGGCTCAACTTGTTTCAAAGTGTCTTCAACCAACTCGTGACAAAAATTTGTCAATTGAAGAAATCTCGCAAGTCTTGTATTAATGCTATCAAAATGAAATCATATCGGGTTGACTCTGAAATATCAAATACAATTGTTCTTATGTAAATAAAATAATACAATTATTCTTAGGTAAATAAATATAAGAAAGTAAAATGTACGATGCTACAAATATTAAAAAGTGTGAAGACTTTACCTCTCACTCGTCTACTATCTGCTTTCATGGGCCAATGTTCTATTTTCTATTAACCTTTTAATGTGTGACATTATTTTGTAGGTATATAGTATTATTAACATCAGGACACTCTTTCTTACCAATTTAAAGCTGAAGCTTCATCTAATGAACGCATGCTCTAATGAGGTGCCCATTATCTTTATATTAGCTTAATTCACGATTCATCAAAATAAACCAGTTGTATAAATTACGTATGCTTCCATCTCTTGAAGTTGATTCTAATCCACATTTGTTACCAACCAATGGCATCAGGCAGAAAAGGTAGGAGTCGAACACTAAAAATCATGCACATGGTTGTTAGATCTTCATTAGTCGTTTATAATTTCTAGGTCGACCCTAATTTCATGAAGCTGGAGATACGGAGCAGATAAAAATATTCTTAATTGTATTTGATCATCGTTTTCCAATACAAAGGTTGATGTGTGGACTAATGTTCTAGGATAGATGTAACACTTATGTTACATAGGAACTTGCAGACACAAAGTCAACCTTCTTTCCCTGAAATTACAAATCTTGGAGATTTCAGGCCTCGACAAGTTTTAGGTGATGATGTTGTGGATGACATAGCGGTTGTGGGTTATGTTTTCAGATCTACAAAGGGATGGACAAGTTAAAAGGGTACAGAAAAACAGTAGGGTTTCGAAATTTATGATATCCTCATTGTAGTGTTTATTTAAAATAGTGGCCCTCTAAAGGTAAAAGAGATATAATGTGTATCCATATATTTTTTACACAGAAACAATTACAAGGATTGGCTTAATATAGCCGATCAATACAATTAGAAGGAACCAATCTAGGAGAGGAATTAGGGATACATAATTACAGTGTGTATCTTTGGTCCTTAATACGCCCCCGCAAGATGGGGGATCCGTCATATATCATGGAGCAAAGTCTGAGAAATGGTGCTCCATAAAGTGGCTTTGTTAAGGCATCTGCTAATGATCATGGGATCTAATGTGTAGTACTTTGAGAGAGGCGTCTGCGACCTTTTCCCTGACAAAGTGGTAGTCTAATGCAACATATTTCATCTGAGAGTGATAAAGTGGCTTAGCATATAGGTATGTGGCACTTGTATTGTCACAAAAAAAAGTATGGGTCAAGAGGTTTGAGTGAAACCAAGATCACTGAGAAGTTTTTCCACTCACGAGACCTCAGATGTTGCATTGGCTAATCCTTTATACTTAGGTTCAAGGGATCACCTTAAGACATATTTTTGTCGTGTCAATTTCCAAGAGATAATGTTTGAGCCTAGATAGAGTATATAAGTAGTAGTTGAACGGTCTCCATTCGAGATCCCTCCCTAATATGAGTCCAAAAATGCTTTGAGATTAAGAGAGTTCCCCTTTTTGAGAAATTATCCATGATGAATTGTACCCTTTAAGTAGTGGAGAACACATTTCCAAGCTTGCCAGTGAATCTGAGTGAGAGCATGCATAAACTGGGCAAGAGGATTAATGACAAACAATACGTCTGGCCATGAGAAGGCCAAATACTATAATGATTCCACCAGTTTCCGATAAGGTGTAGGATCCACACTAGGTGACCCGTCCATGCAGTTAAAAATAATATAAGAGCTTAATGGAGTTGCCACATCTTTTGCACCATCCATATGAAAGTTGGTTACGAGATCTTGAATATGGAGATGTTGGGACAAAAATAGGCCATGAGAAGTATAAATAACTTCAATTCCAATAAAGTGGTGTAGAGAACCAAAATCTTTAATGGATAAGAAATTTGTTGAGGTGTGAATGAAGTTTGTAAGAAAGGAATATTGTTTCCTGTGAGTACGTCAATCCACATAGACCATAAAGAAGCAGATGATGTTGTGATTATAAATGAGTAGAGAGGCATATGTTTGGGATTTATGACAATCACAAGTATGGAGGAAGGCCGGGAGTTCCATGTACCAGGCCCATGGTGCTTACTTTAGACCATATAGGGACTTTATGAGCTTACAAACTTGATTTGGGAACTGAGGATGAACAAAGCCTGGTGGTTAGGTCATGTAGACCTCTCCATGTAGAGTACCATGAAGGAAAGCATAATTAAAATCAATTTGGCCTTGTGCCTAATTTTGTGAAAGGGAAATAGATAGAATGACAAGTATGGTTATTGGTTTTGTGAATGGACTCAAGGTATCAAAGTAGTCTTGAAAATATTGTTGAAGGAATCATTTTGCAACAAAATGAGCTTTGTATTTAGAGATGGTTCCATCCAGATTTCGTTTGATCCAGAAGACCCATTTACATCCAATGGGGTTGTGAGAAGCTTTAGGAACTAGTTTCCAAACTCCATTTTGCATGAGGCCATTAAATTCCTGGTTCATAGCTTGTCTCCAGTTTTGGTCTTTAATAGCTTGGTTATAGGTATGGGGTTCAATGATGGGGAAATAGGATGAACTGTGGTGGAGTTTATGAATGAAGGATTGAAATATTTTTTTCTTTTGTTTTCTAGTTCTTGATGGAAGTGATGAGGGGTGGGTATGGAGGTGGTAGATACAGTAGGAGAGGTGGTGGGAGTGGGTGTAGTAAGAGTAGATGGAGAGGTTGGTGTATGGTCCTCTAGTTGGATAGGAGGAGGATGATATTGGTAAATGGTGATCGATGGGTCAATAGTGGACTTAGTAGTCTAAGTGGGGTGAGTGGGAGAGGTTGGGGAAGGATGGGAAGGGGAGTAGTGGATAAATGTTGAGTGGGTACTAGAGAAGGTAAAGAAATAGGATGCATAGGAGGTGTTTATGACTATAAGGTGGATGAAGTAGGAATTAGGAAAGAAGTGGTGGGTGAATATGGGACATGGGTAATGGTATTATCAGTAGGTAGGATAGGAGATTTGGTGGCATGATAGGGGAATTAGTTTCTATAAACTCAACATGATGGGAGTGATGGAGACATCTGGTGATTTGATCAAAGAATTTATTGGCAGACTTGGAAGTGGACTAGCCAAGAAAAATGCGTGGGGTGGACCTTGGAGGTAGTGTATGGTCTAAGCTACGGAAAACAAAGACAACCAAACTATTTTAACTTATTGTAGTTTAGTGGTTGATGAAAAATACATTGAAAGGGGTTTTGTTTTTTTATAATGGGTGTGGGAAGACTATTTATGAGATATACTATAGTTTGGAAAGCATGAGTCCAGTAGGTAAAAGGAATGTTGGCTTAATAAAGTAGGACAAGACCCGTCTCAACAATATGCAGGGATATCCCAATTTATGATGCCAAGGGAGTGGAATTTTTTTTTGGTGACATTAAGTTGTGAATTGAATGTAAGGTGAGCATAATAAACATCTTCACTGTTCTTGCCTCGCATTAGACGTGCCCCCATGCGAAGATCCTTCACAAACAAATGAGTCAGGAAAAAATCCCACTAAAACTTCGTTTGTTTTGCATAATTTAGCAACAGAAATAAGATTACGACGTAAATGTGTAACACACAATACATTAGGTAAATATAAATTTTTATTGGGTGTGTTGATGTGTTTAAAACCAATGTGAGAGATGTGTAAATTGTTACCATCACTGAGTATTATCTTATCTAGATCACCATAGTCGGAGACATTTTGTAGTGGGGGTCAACTTGATTTGAAGCACCACTATCGTATAGCCAGGTAGGTGGAAATTTAGACGAGCCATACGTTGTAACATTTTGCACTGGCGTTGTTGTTGAAGAAGTAACAATAATGTTGTTTTTACGAAGAAGGCGAGAGAGTTTTTTGTAGTCATAGTGTTATGACCTGGGATATTGAAGAAGTGCCTGAAATTGTACCGCGTTGAGCGATTTTCACTTGAGTTATTATTCATGGCTTGGTTTCAATTGTGCTAACCCTGTGAGTGATGTCAATGGACCGATTTGGTTTTGAAAGAGTCATTATGATCATGACGAGGCACTTGGAGGCCTTGATGTCGAGTAGTATAATTGATAGTAGTTAAGATCGATTTAGTGGTTGTTGTATTTTATTTGAATGTCCTTTAGAAATCTATTAATTTGTCAAAAAATTCTAGATATGATAATGGGTTTTCACATATTTTAGGAGCAGCTGCAATTGTACTGAATTCATCACCGTGCTGTGAAACAATATTAACTACAAGGTCTTCCTCAACAGTAGGACTCTGTGCCAGGGAAAAGTCATCAACTATGGAGCACATATCTTGAAGGTATTTTCCAACAGGTCGATTAGTGTTTGGGTTTTTGATAAGTTTTGGTTTCAGGGAGATGACACGAGATCTTGATCTACCGGTAAAGCTTGAGTTCCCAGGTGTCCTAAGAAGTGATAGCAGATCATATTATAGACTAAATTTCATCCGAATAGCTTGTAGAATTGCACTAGTAATCACCTGATCTTGTTTGTACCAAGGAACATAGGTTGGGTTTGGCATCGATTTTTCTTTATCAACTAGAACACACAATGGATGTTGTTGTTTACCGATAAAGAATGAGTCGAGCTCATTCTCAATTAGGGTTCACTCAATTTGATGTATATTGGGAAATTACTTGATGTGAGTTTAATTCGGAAGGGGGTTGTAGTGGTAATTTGGATAATCGGTTTACAGCTCATTGTAGCACAAGGTTTTCGAAGAAAAATACTAGGTCGGAGGTTGTGAAGTGAGAGATTAGATCGGCAACTCTTTGAGTTTGTATGTTGTGATACCATATAGAGCTCAAGGAGATAGAATGTGTATGCATGTATATTTTATAGAGAAACAATTACAAGGATTGGATTAATATAGCCAATTAGTACAATAGGAAGGAATCAATCAAGGAGAGAAATTAAGGATACATATCAACATAGATTTTGTCCCACGCCAACATTTATTCCCATACCACTTCCCCTAGCATGTGATCTTGAAACTAGTGTTGGAATAGTGTCTAAGGCTATAACTATATTCGGTGGTGCATGGTCCTTTTGGGTTGCCTTCACCATTAGCA